CACCAGCGTTTAAAAGATCACGATTTCTACCTCAGTACAAGGTGTGTGAATCTTGGTGTGCGTAAACAATGGTCCTCTGCAGACAAATACTGACATTTCTAGTGCTTATGTCTGTAAACTCTTCCCAAAAGCTCAGTACAGAGACACCATACCATGGAAACCATCTAATGGTCATTCAACAGGGTTATTTTTTGGAAGTATAAGGTTTCCTTCTCTGAAGCAGTCTATTTGAAAGGCCATATTGAAGTAATATCATATTTCTCAATACTATTCCACAGTGCAACAATGTAGCAACTATACGATTCATGTGTGATGAAATAGTGATGCCCTCCATGAATTATGAATTCAGGGAGATGAGCAGAGAATTTTGGGCTAGAAGAGACTGAAATAAGAACCAGTACAAATGTCTGCCCATCCTTGGAAACCAGTGGAATTAAGACATCATTTTGAAGTCTGCAAAAAATCTGGTACTGTTATTTTGTGCTTTCTGGTTTTCGCAAGCACAATACTCTAACTTTCTCACAATATTCTTCTCCCAGCCAAAGCTGAGAAATTCTGGGAATCTTATTAGTAATCCTGTTGCGTTTATTGTGAGATTGCTCATCCGTTCCCAAGGGGAAGAACATCAGAAAAGCATTCATATTTTTCTCAGCCAGCCTCATTCTGAAGAATATATATTGCTCTTCTTCTTCCTTCCTACCAAGCCCTTGTTATTTTCCCAGATCTGATGTTATCTTACTGGGGTACACGTCAAATGAGGAAGGCAACGCTCACTGTTTTCACAGTCACAACATGTCACAGACTGAGTCTGCTCTCACTGAAGCTGTAGGCAAACTCCCATCAGCTGAATGGGGCAGGATCAGCCCACTGCCAAGATATCTGGCCCCTTAGATTTATGGGAAATTCCTGCTCCTAAATCATACGCATCCTTTAAACCAAACAGTTGTTGAGTGCTTAGCTGCATGTTTAAATTAAATTAGTAAAATCAGATCCCTAGATAATGACAAGAAAACAGCATGGCAGAAAATAAAATCTTGCTCATGAGAAATAAGACAACTTGCTCTGTCCTTGAGAATTACCTGGGTGATAGGTAAAATGCTGGGGTTGGCTTCTTTTTCTTTTCCCATTGATGACATAGAAATTCACCTTCACAGGTGTACGGATGTGCTTGTTACGGTATTCTGGTATTTCTACAAAAAGCATGCTCTGAAACAACAAAAGGCAGAAGATATATTATTAGTAACTGAAGCTAGCAGTAGATTCTTAGGTAAGCCTTCCCTGTTACACATTCAGGGGTAAAGGAAAAGAAATCTTCCTATCCATCCCTAAAAAGAAGGGTATGTGAGGAAGAAGAGAAGAAAGGGCAGATGGAACAGAACTTGAAAGCTTCTGGTATTAGAAATTTCTGGCATTTCTGAATATCCTCTGTGGTATTGAGGTTGTCCTGAACTTGAAGAGAGAAATCTCAGCTACAAATAAAATACACAGACTGGTGCTAAAGGCTGCAGCAATGCTGTTAATCATACCATGCTTGATAAACATGTATGCGTTGCAGAAATTCCTCTGCTTTTGTTACAGTAAACTTGATTACTCTATAGGCTTGTTACTTATACACAGCTGGATCCCACTTCCATGGAAATTAACAGTGAGCGTCCTGTTCTCTTCCGCAAGTGCACGCTTGGCCTATGGCAATGTAAGTAATAGCTCCTAAAAGCCACTGAACAACTACAGGAAGGTCCCATTAAGCAGAGTGAACAAAGAAGCTCATTCCCTTGAAAGATCAATGTTAATTTTAAATAATACAGCACAAATCTTGTCCTGCAAAGTACAGAGCACCCAAGACTCCACACAAGCAAGAGGAAGTTAGACCAGCCAGCATCCTGCAGAGGACTTTCAAAACTGGCCTGATACAATAGAGTCCTCTGCAAGAACACAAAATCTAGCAGCTGTTCAATTTGCTGTGGGTTACTGCTAAATGAATAGTTTCTTTTTGCAGCAAATTCACTGCTGAAGCATTTGACATTTGCTCATCACAGCAAATTGTGTTGCTCTTTCTGCTTTTGAGATACTCTTTGAAAACTACCCCTTGAATACAAGTTGCTGTCTGAGACACTCAAGGATAGGACATCCAGCGTTCTGCATACTTACAGGCTGGCTCTTATCTTTATCCACCGTCGCCTCCATTTCCCAGATCTGCTGCCCATCTAAAAGAATATCACAGTATTAATCTCCTTGCATTTTTTTAAATCACAAAACTTGCCTTAAAGAAAAGGACAAAGTAAAGGCATCAGGTTAGCAAAGCTCTCAAAACTGACTTAATTTTAAGCACCTTCCCAGTCCTAACCAAAAGCAATACCTTTTAATTTTAACACATCATTGAACACTTCTCTGGTCAGGAAAAGGCTTACATACATATTAAAAATAAATGTATATGAAGAAATTTGCTGAACTGAAGAATGAAATATTCAGCACAGGTGCAACATCTGCTTTTTACCAAACTTGACTGCAGCCAGCTTGATTGGTGGGGGGGTTCAAGTAGGTCAGATAACTCATTTATGGTCACACTGGTCAGTAGCTCAGCAGACTTTCCACTGTTTTAACCTAAGATCACATGGCTCTCCGCTAGTGTGGTGATGGGGGTGAGCAGGTGGAGGAAGGACAAGCTAACAAAAAAATATCTGATAGTGGGTGCCTGGATATCTCAACATGCCAACTGAGCCACTTCAGGTTCATTTTTAGAGGTGCTGCCCAGCCAAACTGGCAGATCATCTGAATGCTCACAGGAGCTTAGGTTTTTCTAGAAGTAATTCACAGTGGCAAATTATTTACTGTAATTAGGATGCCAGCTATACAGGGTGCTTGATTACTGTGTTACGCATGCCTTCATACTACTTAGAGTCATTTCTTATATATGCAAAATGAAACCTAGACACATGCTATCTAGCAATGCCTCTTCTCTGATCTAGGAACAAACCTTCCATCTCTAACAGTGGACACGCACCTTTGCGCTGCCGCCACTCCAGGTTTCCACCACGTGCCACAGGCTTTCAGCCCCGGCTTCAGCCACTGTAACGGGCTAAATATTCACTGGAGCAGCAGCTCATCGCATGTGCAAAGGCTTTTGTCCTGGACCCACTGGAAGTCTTTCTGCTCTTAATTATATCCACGCAGCTCGTCTCAATTCTGAGCTACATAAAATTGTATTTATAGCGTAAAATAAAATTTGATCTCTTCCTATGGAATATCATCAAAGTAACCCAGAACTATAAGAGTACATAAGTAGTCGCAGAATATTTGTGCACAGACTGGGTGCTTCGTCAGGCTACAAAATATGTCTTAAACCCACTGTCATCCCACCCTTCATAGAAATATTTTTAGCAATGCCTTTCTTTTTTTTTTTTTTAAGATTTTAGTCTCTACCCCTTCGATTTTAATAATAGTGTGCTGAGTCTTCTAACCAAGTCATTTTCTGAAGAAAAATACTGATGGAAAAAAGATTGCCTCATACCTTTTAGAAAGTTTGATTTTAAAATGAATAGGGGATACGTATCCAAAATAACTGACGTGACATGAAATACTGTAGCCACAAGCCTGCTGTTTGTTTTAGAGAGGGGGAGGAATCTCCTGGGCTGCATTTCTACTGGTAGGTTCCCCAGCCTGTGTGCCCAGGTTTGGCACAAGAGAGGTGGAAGTCTCATAAAAAAACACTTCTTCTCGCAGAACTTTTTATTTTTCCTGATTCTTGGAAATTCTGCAAGAGCTGCTTTTGTCCTCTGTTATTTCAGCACTTCTGCTTCTGGTAAAAAGGGAAATGAAAGCGTATTTTTAAATGCATTTTGCATTTTCATGCTGTTTTTGTCCCCTGCTCCATGCAGACAGCGAGCTGACAGAAGTGCTCAGGTCTCCAGCCGGCATCGCCCCGAGGAAGCCTCGGACGTGACTCCTCGGCCGGGACGGCTCCTCCGATCGCCCACTTGCTGCGCTCCCCCGGGCCCGGCGCGGCGCCCAGCGCGCGGCACGAGCCCACCCCGGTCCGCCACGGAGGGGACCGCCCTGGGGAGGCCGCCGGCCCCGGCCCGACGCTGTGTCCCTTACACTTAGATGCCACCGGGGATGCGTGCGGAGGCGGCGATGCTTAACGGGGGAGGTTCCCTTTTTATGTCATCTTTCTGAAAAGCAACCACCATATTAAGAGGCCTCCCACACCCCCAAAAATCCCAAGAGAAATTTTTACAGCCCTCTGAAGGGAAGAGGAGGAAACAACAAAATATGTCACGAAATAAAAGCTCGGCTAGAGACATACATCAGGAACTGTCTAAGCAGTGCAACATGAAGGTGGCCTGACAGCAGGGACAGCCGAGCGGGAATATTTGACACTGCTTTTCCTCCAGGCAGAATGTTTTCATCTTTGTTCCTGTACTGCTTAAATTCAACTAGTCTGTGCTGATACAACAGCATTAACTTCACATATAAGGTAGAAATCAGAAGGATTTGTCCATTCAAAACACACGAAATAAAGGAGAAATGGGCCTCAAAGTCATCTGCCATATTCAGGAGGCCCGTGAAGCATATGCAGCCACAATTACAGGTGATTTGATTTAGTAACTGAGCCACTGAAATTGCACTAAAAGCTAATGAAGCCAACCATAAAAATCAGATGACGCTTAGGCTGAGTCCAAAGTCTGTGGGGATTAGGAATAAGAATGAGAATAACCCCAACCAAACACGAAACAAATGTATGTGGGGTTATCGTTCTAATGATGATAGATGCTTCTGTTTGGATATACTCCTGCTCACGGCAGCTACACAGGTTTCTAACAGATCTATCAGCAGTGGCAGTTCCTGGTCTTTAAGCACCAAAGCACTGTTGAATATAACCATTCTGCAACTCACTCACTGACCTTTATGCTTCAATATTACGATGTGGCTCCATCTGTCTCACTGCTTCACTTTTATAGTTGTGAATGTACAAACTTTAATACGAGACGATCAATATTTGCTTTTGCTTTAACTCCTCTGGATACACACATTACAGTGAGCTTTTGGCAGAAGGATGAAGGAGGTCACGAATAAAATGAAAAATACAACTGCATTCATAAATAACTCCTTACTGTAACCTATTATTTTTGCTGGTAATGACAAGAAATCTCTTAATTATGCACACTCAGAGAGCTAACCAAAAGCAGGAAGAATATATTAAAAAGGAAGCTCATTCATAGGACAATGTGGGGAAATTTTGAATACAGAAAACTTCTACAAAATTGTCAGCATAGCATGTTTATCGTTTTTAAAGTGTGCATAAATGAGAATGTTTAGAGGGGGACGTCGAAGTGAATGTTTGAAGAAAACCATCAGCAAGGATGTGATCTTCACCGTGAAGGTGGAGGGGCCAGAAATAATAATGCTTAGACAACGGCAGGGCCCAGGACCCAAAGCAAAAGACACTTCATCGCCTTTATACTTAGAAGTAGGCCCCTTCCTCACTGACCAAAATATGCAGCGCCAATACTGCAACATCAGCGGTGCCCAAACACCACGGACGCGCCCTGCTTGGGGCAGGAGGTTGGGCTAGGTGACCTGCTGAGGTCCCTTAATTATCCTTTTATTCAGTCATGCCACAAACGGGGGAAACCACCAGTAGCTTCCCTGCTTGCGCACCGAGACAATTAAGCCTCAGCTTGACTGATAATTTAATCTAAAGTCTACAAACAGCTGCTTATTGCATAAGTTAAACCTGCTTCAACAAAGACGTTAAGAAAACTGCAAAACAGCAACGGCATCATTTTTGCTAAACCCTTGTGAGAGTGCAAGCACGAAGATGAAGAGACCATGCGCCCTCCAAGTTGCAAGCGGTGCCTGGACCCTCCAGGAAGCTGCACTTGCCAGCCAGCACCACCACAAAGGTGGTCCCATGACATGCATGGCTCACGCAGGAGCACATTGTCAAATCCATGAAAAAAGCAGAGGTTCCACTAAAGATGATAACATAGTTTTTGATTTAGAACGCCAAGGTCTTACCAGCCATAGCTGCCTCCTGTAATACTTTTACTGTTGTGGTTCCCTGCTCATGTAATGGTTTGTCTTAGTTGGCAAGTCTTTAACCCAACAGGTCAGTGAAACGTTCAGGAAATAGAGATTTTTGTGCTGCTTCAGGGCTATGAGACTTAGCGTTAAACCCTGATGAGAGATCTGATTGTGTCAGCACTCTTTGGAGGAATGAATGAGTTGTTGGAAGAAAGTAATTCTACCCTCGCTAACCTAAACTATGATCATACCAAAAGCCTTGCTTCAAACTTTGAGGAAAATCAAAATGTCAGGCTGCATTAGGACCGTTTTGGGTGATTCTCTGCAGTCCCTTATAGGGCTTTTTTTAATTAGTCAATTAAAGGTTTTCTTGAACCAGTTACAGCCTTTACACATTATTCACGATCCCTTACTTATGACTTTGGGGTCAGTAACTAGCGGAGAAACAAACTTACCGCTTTATTTGAACAAGCATGACTGATGGACTGAGAGGTTCAGGAAATTTTCTTTGCAAGTCTCTCCAACTGAAAACTAAGTGTACTATTGTGCTGGTTCTGTACGGGATTCTGTGCCCGCATGCGATTTTATACTTGAAAATGTACACTGCTTTTCAGTCAAGCATTACACAAATTACTTAATGAACAACCTGTTACCTTTTTCCCAGGTAGCAACCAGGCTAGCGCCCCAAAGACACTGAGCCTGATAGCTGGTGGGGCAGCTGCCCTCACTAAACATATCTGCAGAGTTCCCTTTGGGCTTGGCTATGAATTGTCCCTATTCACTGCATTTCTTGGAAGGTCTTCCAAAAACATTATCTGTCAGCTTTTATCAGCAGATGACAGGCATCCTTGCAAAACAGTCAAGGTTTCTTAAGCCACCCCAAGAACAAAGCATGTAAAAATGAATGCTTCCTAGCAGAACAGACAGCACTTTGGAGATGTGGAAACCTTGCAGACAGGGGAAAACTTGCACAAAGTCTTTGCTACTCTTTTAGGGGACGAATCCTGATTTCAGCTGGAAAGGTTATTCTGCTTCATGCCAGCGCAAAGTGCGCAGATTCTGGCCCTAAGCAGTGGTCTCCTTATCAGCTTTTACTTTGGGATAGTTTTCAAACTTTAAAATAAACACAGCACAAATGAGCTTTTTCCAACTCACAAAAGAAGAGCTATTGGATTTTTCA